CTAGAAGGCTGGTGCGCACCACCTGTGAGTGATGACTCTTAGACATGGGGCTAGTAATTATATTTGTGCTATATTTTTGTTTTTATTTTTTTATTTTTTATTTTTTTTTATTTTTTTATTCCCGAGTAGCTGGGACTCACAGGCATGAGCCTGACCTTGAGCGATCCGCCTGCCTTGGCCTCCCAGAGTGCTAGGATTACTGGCGTGAGCCACCCCGCCCAGCCCTATATTTTTGTTTTTAAATATAATAATGTTTAATTTAGGGCCGGGCGCAGTGGGGAAAATACTGTAGAGGGAAAATCTTAGTTTTAAAATATGTATATGTCATTATATAGTTCAAGAATAGCAATATTCTAATTAGACATGATTTTGCTTGAATATGAAATAATTTGGTAACTTTTGAACACTTTTAGCCTAGTATTTAATCCTAATATAAAACACTGGATTTACCAGTAGAAAATTGTAATTACTTTTTTATAGAGCAAACACATACATAAGAATATTACTATCATATACCTATATAAATTTTCAGAGACTGAAATTTCCCACTAAAGATTATTATGTTAGGAGTTGAGATGAACCCCTTAAAATACCAAATAAATAAATAAACTAACCAACTAACAATTTACAAAAAACCAAAATTATGTAGATAACTCTTTTGGTTAAGAATAAACATCTTTTTTAAAAAAAGGGTTGGGGGAGATCTTCCTAACAGCAATTATTGAACAATTCCTCTTAACCCAAACTTGAAAAATAAGTCTACAGTTCTGGAATAGTTTCATTTTGAACATACTTGATGGGAGGCAACTTTTAAACAGAAAACAACTGGTTAAAATTGCCTCAAACTTTAAAAGGGACTGATTTGTAGCCATGGTAGCAATGAGCCACCCAGAACCAGTTTTAAATCTAATCGGTCAATGACCACTGGCCTCACTCACCAACCAATGTCAGCAGCTTGCTTCTGAAAGCCAGCCAGTCAGACAAACTCACCGCAATAAACATGCCTGGGAGTGCCAAGCCATCAACAATGTCACTCAACCACATTGTTACAAACGATGTCAACCCACCTATGCTTCTGAAAGTCTGACAATCCTTAAATTCCACTTTTCCCGGAACCCCATATAAGATCAGCAGCTGCTCTGTCACAAGAGACTGTGCCTGACCAGCTCTCTTAATATAGAAAGTAAGACATTCGAAGTGCGTCTTTAATCCTTTGGCAAGAATTTTTTTTTTTTTTTTTTGAGATAGAGTCTCACTATGTCGCCCCTGGCTGGAATTCGGCTGCACCATCATAGCTCACAGCAACCTCAAATTCCTGGGCTCAAGCGATCCTTCTGCCTCAGCCTCCCAAGTAGCTGGGACTACAGGCACATGCCACAGCACCCAGCTATTTTTTTCTATTGTTAGTAGAGACAGGTTCTCACTCTTGCTCAAGCTGGTCTCGAACTCCTAACCTCAAACAATCCTCCCACCTCAGCCTCACAGAGTGCTAGGATTATAGGCATGAGCCATCGTGCCTGACCCTGGAAATAATTTTTTAAGTCCATTCAATTTACCATCCTTATTATATTGGATTTTTCTTAATGAAATACAAATTAAGCTTCAATTCCTTTGATCCATCTTACCATAATTAAAACTATCATAATTACCACTGTAAGAATAAATAATAACCACAATATTGGTTTTTTCTCTCTAAATGGAAAAACATTGATACAGAGAATATAGAGTATTAGAAAGAGCCAACAGACTCCCAAAAAATGCATATAATGGCCAGGTAAAATTGACATAATGAACCCATGTCAAACTGTTTCATCGGCGAGAACTAGTCTAAGGTTTAGGGTAAACTCTATTCACTCATTTAACAAGTATTTATTGAGTGGGATCTAGGCCCTCTTCTAGGCACTGAGAATATGGCAGTGAAACAGACAAAAATTCTAATAGGAATGAAGTGAAAACACAATAAAAATAAAATAGGTAGGAAAACTATATAGTATGTTAATTATTAAAGGAGAAAAACTAAAGCAGGAAAATGAAATTTGTATGCATTGGAGGGGAAGGGTGGTAAACATATTAGGGTGGCCAGAAAAGGCCTTTCTGAGAAAGTGGCTTTATAGTAAGTAAAGAACTGAAAGAATGGAGGAAGCAAGCTGGCAAGATACCTGAGGGAAAAGCATTCTGGATGGAGTGAACTACCAAGTACTATGGTGAGCCTGGAGTCTTTAAGGAACAGTGAGAAGTTCAATGTGGCTGGAGCAGAGCGAAAGGGATAGAAAAATAGATAAAAGTTTAAGGCATACAGACAACAGGGTCAGATGATGTACTGCCTTTTAGGTATTAGGAAAAACTGAAACATACTGAGTGAAATGGGAGGCAATAAGAGGATTTTTAAGCAGTGGAATGACATAATCTGACTTTAATAGGTCCACCAGGTTAAGAATTGATGGTAAAAGGATTTTTTTAAAAAAGAAGAACAAGAAACCCAATTTGTAGTCTATTACACTCCTCTAGACAGCAGATGGTGGTGGCCTAGACACAGAAGATGTGACTTGCTTCTGGATATATTGTGAAGGCAGACCTGATAACAACCAAGATTTGCTGACAGATTAGATGTCAGGTATCAGGAAGAGAGAGAGAGAGTCAAGGATGACACCAAGGTTTCTGACAGAGCAACTGGCAGAGTTGCCATCAACACAAGTAGGAAAGACTGCCTGAGGGGGAAGGTATGAGGAAGAACATCAGCAGCTCAATTTTGGACCTGATTAAATCTGTGATACCCAACAGCTAACCAAAGAGAGATGTCAAGTAGGCAATGTGGTACACAGGTCTGGAATTAAGAAGAGATATAAATTTAGCTGGAGATATAAATTTGGAAATCATTAGCATATGCAAGGTAGTAAAAGTCATGAGAAATAAGATCGAGGACTAAGCCCAAGGATACATCAATGTGTAAAAAGGGGAGATGAGGAGAAGCACGCAAACCAGCCTGGGATGGATGGACTACAAAGGCAGGAGGAAAAACCAGGTGAGTGAGTGACATCCTGAAAGCCAAGTGAAGAAAGGGTTATTAGGGAGGAGAGATCTTTCCATGGGGTCAAATATTGCTGATAGGTTCATTTAAATGAGGTCTAAGAAATTATGTCTAGATTTAATAAAGTGAAAATCAGTGGAAACTTTGAGGAAAATAATTCTGGAGGAGTGGTTTGAGTGAAAATTATTGGAGTGAGTTCATGATTGAATGGAAAAGAAATTTGAGAATGTGAGTATAGAAAGTTATTTCAAGGGTATCATACCTAAGTGGCATGATAGTAAATGATTTAATTGTCTTCTTATTTAGCTGCATTTTGCAATCCTTCTATAACAATTATATAGTATATTTTAACACTTGAAAGGTTTTCTAAATTACATATATATATATAACATTTTTTAAATGTCAAACTAAGGTATAAAATATTCAATTCATAAAATTATGGCACTAAAAGGCCCCTTGAACATTTCTATATTATATAAACTGATTATCATTTTGCTCATGCTTATCTATAAGACTAAAAGTTTCAAGGGCAGTAAAAATCATCTAACTCTAGGATTTATATACTCATCAAATTCACAAAGTAATCATTTTCAGTTACTAGATTCTATAAATGGAATAAAAGGGGAGAAATGCAGAAAAGAACCTCACTTTGTAAACTGATTTTTTGTAAATTATATAACACGAAGCCACTGTTGGAAAACATGCTATGGTGCATATTTACATACACTATCTTTTAACAGGAAGGATGCTGGCATGCATGCAGGTTGCCTTTAAAAAGCAGATTCACTGCATTGTCAGCACGTTGGTTTTGGCAGAAGGGTCAGCAAATTAGTGCTTGTGGGCCAAACAAATCCACAAGCCTGTCTGAATGAGCAAAGTGTTACTGGAACACAGCCACACCCATTCACTTATCCTGTATGACAGATTTTAGACTACAATAGAAACCTTATGGTCAACAAAGCCTAAAATATTTACTATCTGACTCCTTACAGAAAAAGTTGGCCAATTCCTGGTTTAGTAGATCAAAGATCCTTGGATGTATTTTTAATAAGTTTTACCCAATACACTGAAATATTTCTATGGAATATGGATTCCCATGTACAATTCATTGGCAATATTCAGATTAATTTGAGGGTTCAATATTTAAGCACTCAAACATTGAGAATAAAGACTAAAAATTTAATAACTGGCAATTTTGTTGGTAACAAGGTAGAGTGCCATGATAGCATGTAGCTTTCTTTTGCAACTCAGTGGATATTACAAGAATTCTAACAAAATTTGCTTAAGATGTGTCATCAAACTAAATGCTTTAAATATGCTTTGGGAAATAATCAGTACACTACAGATCTAAACCTTATTTTTTAAGTGGTTGCATGTAATGGGTATGACAATTTAACTATTTTCTTATTCATGGGTATTTTATTTTTGATATGGCAATGCTATAATAAATATCCTTAACACACATATACATGTAATGTCATATTTATATAAATATCCTTTACATATATTATACACCCTTAGCATAATGTTATACATATAATATATATGCCTATTGTATGTTATATATAATATATAATTAATGTCCTTAACATGTATTTACACAAGTCACGTTTTCCTGTAGGATCACTTGTCCCAGAAGAGAAGCTGTTAGGTTAAAAGAATAATATATTTGAAATTTTGATACATGCTACTAAATGACCCTTCAGTAAGGATTTACCAGTTTCATTTACCAACAACATATGAGAATGCCTTTTCCCTCCCATTTGCCAACACTGGCTGTTATTTTTGTAGTAAAATATCAGTATGATTGGAAAAAATGATATCTCATTATTAATTTGCACTTTTCTGATTATCAGATAAGGCTGAATATCCCTAGTAAAAGTATAAAATTTGTTAATCATGAATATTAGCCCAAATTAGAATTAGTTTTATGCTACAATAAAAATTATGTTAAATATTGCTATTGTCTTACCTATCACACTTTTCCTTCTCTTTCCTACTAAATTGCTGATTATCAGTTTTTCCACTCTTTCTTTGTTGAATTAATCCGCCATCATCATCATCATCACCATCATATAGGTTTTCTGATACGTCCATTTCCTGACTTTTGTGCTTCTTCCTTTCTTCTTCAACCTTTAATGAAAGTTTCATACTAAGGATAATTGTTATTACTCTATTCAACAAACAGAACTGTTTTCTTTTTGTTGAGCTTACCACTTCACTCAGTTTAATTGTCATGATTTTAGTCACTAAAAATATTTTGTGCCTACTTTAATTTTATCACTATATATGATTATAATTACATATCACTATAATCATATATCACTATATATGATTATAATCATATCACTATATATCACATATAGTGATATAATTATTATAATTTTATCATTGAAATTTTCATAAATTCTGCTTCATTTCTATTTAAGTAAATGAAACAGAATTTTCCAAAATTTCCAAAAGGACTCTTGTTAGTATTGTGCTTTTATTCCCACCTACTCTTCAATATCTAATTTTAATTTTCACTGTTGGCAGAAACGGAGAAATAAAATGACACAAAATATGTCATCTTCTGCCTTTACCACCTGGATTTTACAATAAACAGCCAGATTTAGAGGATGTGACACTGTGGGGCTTTCCCTTTCTGCACGAAGTTATTCTTTTCCCTACTGCCTTCTACCATTCTTTTTTCATTTTCATCTTGGGATATCAAAAAAAGAAGGTGCTCACTGAAATTCAGGAACTAAAGCTTGCCACAACACAAGAAGCAAAGTGAAACTGCTGAGTTGCTAGTGTGGAATTCTGGAAAATGAGATGCTTTCCAAATTTCACAATCAGTAGGCATACACAGCTGGAGGATATACATTATAAGTAATTGTCCACTTTAGCCCTGTTACCTACTGATAATGGGAGTAAAACCAAGAAAGATTAAATGATTCATCCAAAACTTCTGAAGTGGCATTACCTAGCATTTATGGTACCAAAAGAGATGATACACTTCCATAATGCTGAACCAGATAAATTACCAGATTAAGTTCATCAAATTAATCAGATAAATTAAAAGTGTGACTCAGCAAAGTCATTTAATCTGTTCAGTGGGATAGGAGGCCTCATGTGCTTTTAGTTTTTAAATTTTTTATTTTTAATTATTCTGGGTACATAATAGTTGTATATATTTATATGGTAAATGTGATGTTTTGATACAGGCATACAATGTTAATTAATTAAATCAGAGTAACTGAGGTATCCATCAACTCAGGCCTTTATCATTTCTTTGTGTTAGGAACATTCCAATTCCACTCTTTGAGTTATTTTAAAGTATACCCTAACTTATTGTTGATTATAGTCACTTTGTTGTGCTACCAAATATTGTTCATTGTATCTATCCAACTATATTTTTGCACCCATTCACCATCTCCACTTTTTCCACCTCCTCCCTGCTACCTTTTTAAAGAATACCTCTAGATTTTTGTCTATCTTTAAAACTCAATGTGCAGAACTCAGCTTTCTCTTTTGGAATCAAATACTAAATTTTGGGTAAGGATTTATGCTACTTATATGATAAAATCATGCATGCCAAAACCTACCCTACTTTATTAAACAACATAATGTAAAGGTCTTATTCAACAGAAACATTTGAGAGTGATGATTTTTAAAAATATGTGTTTTGGCTTTTTCTAAAATTTTTGGATATAGGGTCACTCTGTCACCAAGGCTTGGAGTACAATGGCATGATTATGGCTCACTATAGCCTCAAATTCCTGGGCTCAGGCAACCCTTCAACCTCAGCCACCCCAGAAGCTGGGACTGTGGGTGCATATCACCACATTTGGCTAATTTTTTTTTTTTTTTTTAATCTTTTGTAGAGACAGGGTCCTGTTTTGCCCACGCTGGTCTCAAACTCCTGGCCTCAGGGGATCCTCCTGCTTGGGCCTCCCAAAGTGATGGGATTGTAGAGTGAGCCAACACACCTGGCCAGATTTTCACTTTTATTTTTCGAGACAGAGTTTTGCTCTATTGCCTGGGCTACAGTGCCATGGCATCAGCCTAGCTCTCAGCAACCTCAAACTCCTGGTCTCAAGCAATCCTTCTGCCTCAGCCTCCTGAGTAGCTGGGACTCTAGGTATATGCCATCATGTCCGGCTAATTTTTTCTATTTCCATTGCCTAGCTAATTTCTCTTTTCTTTTCTTTTCTTTTCTTTTCTTTTCTTTTCTTTTATTTTCTTGAGACAGAGTCTCACTCTGTTGCCTGGGCTACAGTGTCATGGCGTCAGCCTAGCTCACAGCAACCTCAAACTCCTGGGATCAAGCGACCCTCCTGCCTCAGCCTCCCGAGTAGCTGGGACTACAGGCATGCACCACCATGCCTGGCTAATTTTTTCTACATATTTTTAGTTGGTCAATTAATTTCTTTCTATTTTTAGTAAAGACGGGGTCTCGCTCTTGCTCAGGCTGGTTTCAAACTTCTGACCTTGAGCGATCCTCCCACCTCGGCCTCCCAGAGTGCTAGGATTACAGGTATGAGCCACCACTCCTGGCAGCAGCTAATTTCTTTTCTATTGTTTTTAGTAGACACAGGGTTTTGCTTTTGCTAAGGCTGGTCTTGAACTCCTGACTTCAAGTGATCCTCCTGCCTTGGCCTCCCAGAGTGCTAGGATTACAGGCATGAGCCACCATGCCTAGCCCAGATTTTTATTTTTAAAAAAGGAAATATAGAACTGATTAAAAAGAACACTACATTAAAAAATATGTGTATTTGTTGTCAAAAATATTTAAGGTATCATGGTAGAGTTGTGAGCTCCAAGAGTTTGAGATAAACAGGTAAACTTGCACACATAAAAGCACAATAAAGAGGTTCGTTTAGCTGGGAATACTTGTTGCAAATCTCAAAGTAGATATAGTTTTACATCTCTTCTCAATTACTGCTTGCTTCCCATTGTATTCCCATTTTATTGTTTAAATAAATGAAATTTATCTTTAAGTAAATAAGGGAAGAAAATCCCTACAGCTTATTATCCTTTTTTTTTTAGCAATTATGTTTATGCTTAACCTGGTGCAGAAGGTAACATGGCATATGGCTAGTTTCCCAGCTCATATGCCATTCGAAAGATTGATAGAAAGACATAGGTTGATTAAGGAACGAAGACTCCGAGAATGTTTTCCTGAACTCGTATCATTTAGGCAGCAAAAATAATGTACTTCTATATACAATTACATATTTAGATAACCCCACTTTACACAAGAGTTTTTCATAAGTAGAAAATCAGACTGAGTCAGAAAATTGATAAAGAGAAAACACAAGGAGTAGCAGCAAGTAAACCTCTACCTCTTTTTGAAGTTGAAATTTTTCTTTCTCCAAAACCAGGAACTCTACTTTTAACATGCCTATCTCATTCTTAAACTTTTGCATATCTTGCTGTAATTCTTCTTTTAGATACACTTTTGATGTTCTGTCGCTATGCAGCAAGGGAAAACTCACATTCTCTAATTCAGGTTCCATGCTTTTATAGTTATTAGCACTGCAATTATCAGACAATGGCTTCTGGAACAAGTCCTGTATTGGTTTTGTTTTCTTAAAAGTGTCTGTAACAGCTGAAATACTGTGTCTTTTTTTTTTATTCAAATGCTTCATTTCTTTGAAGGGAGTAAGCCATAAATCAAAAGAGCTTTTTGGATCACTAGATTGAGATATATGTCCGATGTCTAATGTCCAATTAGTGGCATTTTGGTTCATGCTTTCTGTCATTCGCATTTCAAATTCTTGGTCTTCTTTCATTTCAACTGTAACTACTTCTGGGTTCCTTACTTTTTTAGTTTCTGTATCATTACAAAAATTCTCCTCATTTGTGTTAAAAACATGTTCAGTGTCTGGGTTGTTATTATTTTCACTGTCTAATTTATTGTCATTTAAATAAAGTTTAGAAGATGACTGGAAAGAGTATTCCAGGGCCCCAGAGTCTGAAGGAGATAGAAAGCCATTTGTCAGACTAGGCTCATTTTGTTCAAGAAATGCCTGAAATACCACAGAGATATCAGTATCTTTTTTCTCACAATAGAGCTTATTATTTGTCAAATTAGAAGGCATTTCCTTTAAGTCTGCTCCTCCTTTAGCATTATCACGCAGTGGCTCTTCCTCAGGACAAGTGGGAATTTTGTATTTTTCACTAATTTCACCACACTTCAGCTTTAACTCATTTGTGCTGAGTTTCAATTTATTTTTCCACTCTAATTTGCCTTGTTTGATCCACATTTCCTCATCCTTTTTCACACAAAGAAGTCTTGAATATACAGATATATTCTCTCTATCACAATCCTTATCCATTTCTGGTTCTTGAGACTTTTTTTGCAGATGTAAATGTGGAAGATTAATTTGCTTGTTTTGTTTCTCAGATGTCTTTTCTGTCAGGGTACATGTTTTTAAAATAACTTTATCCTTAAGTAACCAAGTATGGGCAAAGAAAAATTAGAAAATAATTAAAAATTAACTGTTAAACTTCTTAATCTATGTTTAGCTACTCCTAACCCCCTGGATTATAACTAAGAAATAAAAAACAATTTGCCTTATCCTAAAATATGAGGAACACATAAACCAGCAAACTTAACTTTGTCATTATTTGTTTGGACTAAATTTAATTCATTATATATTAAAGCTACCAAAACCGAATTAGCAGATGATCTGTAGTATTACAGAGGTCCTCCTTTAAAAAGATTTTACCTCACCAAACCTTAAATAGTGAGCTGCTATAGTGTATTTCAGTACTGTTTCTAAAGATTTCTAACTGGAAAGTAGGCAAATTTTATATTATTAGGGGGAAAAAATCAACACCAATCAGAAAGAAAAGCAAATTCTTAAATTTTAATTCAAATTATATACCATAATATGATAATGTTATATATCTGTACAGATACCTGCTATGTCCAAATTCTAATATTCTAATGTCCAGTAATGATAGTGGATAAAATAATTTTAATAATATTTACTGATTTCCTATATTGAAATAAGTTAGAAAGTTATTGTTTGTACCCTAACACCAAAGGTCCCATTCTGCAAGGTGTGATTCTCTCAACAGGCAGTTGAGTTGATTTTATGACCCCATTTTCTCCCTGAATGTAGACACCAAAGTCAATTAGAGACCACAAGGTAGAATATATGTTTAACTTTGGCATTAGTGACCAGCAATATAAAATTGCAAATTTTGAACCACTGGGGATGATAACTCCTTTTTTTTTTTTTTTTTGAGACAGAGTCTCACTTAGTTGCCCAGGCTAGAGTGAGTGCCATGGCGTCAGCCTAGCTCACGGCAACCTCAAACTCCTGGGCTCAAGCGATCCTCCTGCCTCAGCCTCCCGAGTAGCTGGGACTACAGGCATGCACCACCATACCCGGCTAATTTTTTCTATATATATATATTAGTTGGCCAATTAATGTCTTTATATTTATAGTAGAGACGGAGTCTTGCTCTTGCTCAGGCTGGTCTTGAACTCCTGAGCTCAAACAATCTGCCGGCCTCGGCCTTCCAGAGTGCTAGGATGTCAGGCGTGAGCCACCGCACTAGGCCACGATAACTCCTTTAACATGAATCCAACTCAGAAGCCATCACAGTGAAACTGTTCAAAATTTCTATTGCTTAGTAATATGATTCAATATTTAATGTTACCTTCTTTATCATGTAAGGAGATCATAAAAATGGAAGATCAAACAATAGTCAGGAAATTTTTTGCCTCAACTCCAAGGGTAAATGTTAGCTATAAGTTACTATGGATTCTAAGAATATTTTAAGCTTTATAACTAGTTAAAATATTTTTTAAATTAAATATTAAATTATGATCTAGTGATTCTAGAAGGTTAGCTGGAAAGGTCATTTCATTTGGATTCTGCTACATTCTTAATGTAAAGCAAACAAAACTAAACCAGAAATTTAAATATAAATATTTTCATACCCATGGCTGGTTATTTTCCCTTCCTTCAAGACTTTCTTGCTCTTCCTCTGAAGTCACTTCTAAATCACGTTCTGCTGACAAATCCATATTTTGAGTTAAAATGAATGACTTAGAACAGTTAGATAAAAGCTATAATTATAAAAATTAACATTTATTTTTATTTTATAAATTGAGAATTTAAATGAAGCTTAATCTTTAGTAGACTATTTCCTTCTTTAAAAAATACTTCTCATTATCCAAAACTCGAACAAGCCACTTGGGGAGACACTTGATATCACCAAATCCAAGGCATACAAACATCTCAAAAACTCACAAATTCATCCACCCAAAATAAATAAACAAACCCACCAGAAACAAAATTTTAAAATATAGTAGAAACATATAAAGTAATACTGTATATTGTTCTCTACTTCATAATAGTACCTTTTTAACAACAGGTTAAGTGTGTTGTTTGCTATTAATGGTTTGCAAAATTACTGCTACTGTTTATACCTTTATCAGTGTACATCTTACTACTTATTTCTGAAATAGTTTCCTTTACTATTCTGACAATTTCTTTTCATCTTTTAAGACTCCGATTGCTATGTGAAGTATTTCCTGATTCTGGCTCTTTCTCCAGATAAACAGGCATCTCCTTCCTGGGGTCTGTCTCAGTGCTTTATCAATTTTTCTATTATACCTCTTCCACCTGAACTGTAAAGTATTTCTTTACATCTCTCTCCCCTCTGCTCCTAGACTGTAGGGGACAATCTTTGAAATAATCGTTATACAGTCTTCATCTGTTTTACTCAATCATTATTTATTTATTGAGTTTCTGCTAAGAGGTAGGCACCAGGATTTAAAGAATATAAACAAAAGGCGTTAAGAATAGATGTTCTAGGCCGGGC